TGAGTTTTTGCTGCAAAGACCCACCGTGGGATTTTGTTCATTTAACTGGGTCGCATCCAGCACCGTCATTCTACTCGCGCGACAGACTTCTGCTTGCGCAACAGAGCATCTCCTCCTTCTCTTGCAGCTCCCTGCCCTCAAAATCTGCCCCAGAGGGCTGGGGGTTTGCAAAGAGAGAAGAGGGTTAGGAAAGCCCCATTGCATGCCTGAACAAGGCCAGCCTAACCTTGAGGCGAGGTGACCGCCTCAGGCGCCAGGATCAACAGGGGCAGCAGGTCCTGCCTCCAAGGAATGCATTGCCCACTGCATACCCTCCAACGTTTCTCTGATGAAAATAGGGACGTCTTATTTCATACCCCCCAACATTTCTCTGCTGAAGATAAGAGATGTCTTATTCCAGCCTGATCCCCTCCCCCTCTTTCCTCTTCCTTCTGTGATGGAACCCCTATTTGGGGACTTCCCTGGCTATTTCTGGCCCACATAGGACCAGTCTGGATAGTTAGCCTTGGTGAAGACTTGACGTTTTCATCCCCTAAAAAGTCTTTGATCTGAGTTTCTACTGAAATGAGGCTGCATTTTAAGTTGTATTTTAATCCTGTTTTTAAGTTGTATTTTAATCCATTGTTTTCATACCTGATGTTAGTTGCCCTGAACCCAGTCTTGGCTGGGGAGGGCAGGATTTAAATAATAATAATAATAATAATAATAATTATTAATATACCCTCCAACATTTTCTGATTAAAATAGAGACATCTTATTCCATGCCCTCCAACATTTCTCTGATGAAAATAAGACACGTCTTATTCCATACTGTCCAACATTTCACTGCTGAAAATAAGACACGTCTTATTCCATATCCTCCAACATTTCTCTGATGGAAATAGGGGCATCCTATTCCATTAAACTAAATTAAACTAAATTTTAATTGGACTTTGAATAAGTGCACAATTAATTGTTAATGCTTTGAATTTTACTGTATTATTCTCTTCCTTCGTGAGTTATGCAAACCTCTATTCTGAATAATGCTTTTAGAGGGTGGAGGGATGCCGGGGATTAATTTATGGAACCAAGCAGATGGTGGTCTCAAAATGTTTAGGGACCACTGGGGTTGACTGCATGGAGAAATTTTTAAACTCAGACCCAGTAACAAACATGTAACCCGAGAACCTCCAAAAGACCTCATGACGACTGAGATGAACACTGGAGATGTGCTCAGTAAGTTGTTATTGTTATTTTTAAAAAGAACAACAACGAAGAGGAAAAACCTCTGGGTTGTTGTTGTCAGTTGTTTTTAAGCCTCGTGAGTTTAAAGGCGAACTTCACGACTTTTGAACCCTTGCAGCCTAGTGTTTACAATGGAACTTTTTCAAAAAACCTACTCATCTGGAGAAAAAAGCAGGATTTTTAGGAAATTTCCACTGTTTGGAAGCCTGTGAATGAATGGAATGAGAAAAATCCAGAATAAAAAAAGGCACATGGCGCATTACATCAGCTTCAGTGACCCTTAAGCAGCGGAGAATCACAATGTACTCTCATGAGGACTGGTGGATTGACCAAAGGGCTGATGAAGGGCTCAACAGACAGCTTAGACAGACAGATGAAATAGATCACATTTCCTTTCTTCTTTCTGTTGTTGTCGGTGGTGGTGATCTGGGACCTGCGTCAAAATGTTTCCGTGTGTTCAATGTTTTCGGCCGTTCGTCTCCACTTTAGGGTCTGGGTATAAAAAACAACAATGTAAAAGTAAAAAAGCAAACCACAGTGACCAGAATTCTTTGTGCTTTAAAGGTACCCTGAATATCTGTGCATAATAGTAATAATAATAATAATAATTTATTATTTATACCCTGCCCATCTGGCTGGGCTTCCCCAGCCACTCTAGGCAGCTTCCCAAAAAATATTAAAATACTGTAATACATTTTTAAAGTGTGCATCTGGTTTAGGAAGTGTCCCAGATGGGGGTCTCGGTTTCTCTGTGGGGAAAACTGTGTGCCCCTCCATGCAGAAAATTTTGGGGGTAGTTGTTAAGAGTGCCGGACTAAGACCTGGGAGACGCGGGTTCAAATTCTCCCTCAGCCATGAGTGGCCTTCTGCCAGTCGCTGCCTCTCAACCTAACCTACCTCCAGGGCCGGATTTAGGTTTGATGAGGCCCTAAGCTACTGAAATGGGACGTGGGTGGCGCTGTGGGTTAAACCACAGAGCCTAGGACTTGCCGATCAGAAGGTCGCCGGTTCGAATCCCCGCCATGGGGTGAGCTCCAGTTGCTCGGTTCCTGCTCCTGCCAACCTAGCAGTTCGAAAGCACATCAAAGTGCAAGTAGATAAATAGGTACCAATCCGACGGCAAGGTAAACGGCGTTTCTGTGCCCTTCTCTGGTTTGCCAGAAGCGGCTTAGTCCTGCTGGCCACATGACCCAGAAGCTGTACGCCGGCTCCCTCGGCCAATAAAGCAAGATGAGCGCCGCAACCCCAGAGTCGGTCACGACTGGACCTAATGGTCAGGGGTCCCTTTACCTTTTAAGCTACTGAAGGTAATGGGGCCCTTTAAATGTCCAGCTGTCAACAACAAATTGTCGCTGTTCTTTGTGTTGAATATATGCTATATGGTCATTTATGGACCTCATAGGTATCTACAGCCATTTGCACGTAACAAAATATGTATTTTATCAAAGTAATTGTTGAACTGAAATACAATTAAGAAGAAGTATATTGATAGTGAAACACAATTAAGAAGATGTATATTAATAGTGAAATTATTATTAAGCTCTAACTTAAAATGATTTTTTAATAATGCAAGCACATTGGCATTTGGCAGTAACAAAAGTTCCTTTAGAAATGAGCAAAACAGTGATATTTTAGGGAGCAGGTTAGCAGGCCATGATTTACATCATAGAAGCCTACACAACACAAAGCACCGTTCCTGTATGTAGGTTTTATTTTATTTGTTTTTTATCTTATATTTTGGAAATGCACATCCAGTTTTTTCCCCTTTGAATTTTTTGGGGGCCCCCAAGAGAGTGGGGCCCTGAGCTATAGCTTGTTTGTGTGGATTAAATGAGGAGGGGGAGAACCATGGATGCCAGCAGGAGCTCCTTAGAGGAAAAGGTGGGATAGAAATGAAAAGGAGAAGGAGAAGACTGAGAATTCCCTCTCGCCTCCTGCCCCTTCCCAACTTCCCTGTTGCGGTTGGGTTTTGCTGCCGTGTTTTAACCAGCGACTGTGGAGCCCCGGAGTGAATTCTCCTTGCGGGAGCCCTGGCCGACTGACCAACTGGGGGTGGTTATCAGTGGAAATGTGTGTAATTGCCCCTGTCAAACAGCTGAAAAGACTCTCCCCCTTTGGCTTCTCCCACTTCAAAATGAAATTCTTTCTTTGTCATGGGCTATGCCTGATATGTAGGCATCAAAGGAGAGGCAACAGGTCACTGCCGCCTCAGGTGAAGTATCTACCTTCTGAAGAGAGGGAGGAATGAGATGGAGTGGATGTTCCCGAAACAAAGAGCAAAAGGGCAGGGTGAGAAGAGAGGGAGAGGGAGAAGGAGAGGGAAGAGCGAGTCACTGGAGAATAGGGCAGGCCAGGAGGAGCTCAGGAATGCCTTCCTTGCTGGGAGAACCAGTGCCGGATTTAGGTAAAAGGGTAAAGAGACCCCTGACCATTAGGTCCAGTCGTGACTGACTCTGGGGTTGCGACGCTCATCTCGCTTTATTGGCCGAGGGAGCCGGCGTGCAGCTTCCGGGTCATGTGGCCAGCATGACTAAGCCACTTCTGGCGAACCAGAGCAGCGCACGGAAACGCCGTTTACCTTCCCGCCAGAGCGGTACCTATTTATCTACTTGCACTTTTGATGTGCTTTCAAACTGCTAGGTTGGCAGGAGCAGGGACTGAGCAACAGGAGGTCACCCCGTTGTGGGGATTCAAACTGCCAACCTACGGATCGGCAAGTCCTAGACTCTGTGGTTTAACCCACTGCGCCACCCGCATCCCTTAGTGCCGGATTTACGTATAAGCTAAACAAGCTACAGCTTAGGTCCCCACTCTCTTGGGGGCCCCCCAAAAAATTAAAGGGAAAAAAAACACTGGATGTACATTTCCAAAATACAGTGGTACCTCTGGTGGCGAACGGGATCCATTCTGGAGGCTCATTCGCAACATGAACAGAACGCGTGCGCGGGTCGCAATTCGCCGCTTCTACGCATGTGCGTGATATCATTTTGCCCGTCTGCGCATGTGCGAGTGACGAAACCCGGAAGTAACCCTTTCCGGTACTTCCGGGTCGCTGTGGGACGCAACCTGAAAACGCCCAACCTGAAGCAAACGTAACAAGAGGTATGACTGTATAGGATAAAAAACAAATAAAATAAAACCTACATACAGCAACAGTGTTTTGTGTTGTGTAGGCTCCTATGATGTAAGACATGGGCCCCGCCTGCTAGCCTGCTCCCTAAAATATCACTGGTTTGCTCATTTCTATATATAGGGTGCCTATATTCTGCATGGACTGGTCGCATGGCAACATGTGCAAATGGCTTGAGATACCTATTAGGTCCATAAATGACAATAGAGCATCTATTCAACACAAAAAACAAGGACAATTTGTTGTTGACAAAGGACAGCTGGACATATAAAGGGCCCCAAGACCTTCAGGAGCTCAGGGCCTCATCAAACCTAAATCCGGCCCTGGGTGGAACTCACAATCCTTGGGCCAAGGAATCCAGGGAGTGGGGAGGGGTGGTTTTGCCCCACATTTTAGCACCGTGGTTCACATAGTGGGCAGTGGGATTACCTAGGGGGTGCTAAGAATCAAGGGGGTGGCAAGCCTGCTACATGCGCAAATGAAGTATCATACTCTGAAATGCTTTCATCACTGACTTAAGTTCCTGCTTTTTGTTTTTTTTTTTTTTTTTTTTTGGCTTAATTATTTTTATTGATTCTACCATGTTTAACCAAAGCATCATTTGTTAACGCATTTACCAGCTGCCGCCAAGCCTGGCTTTCCCCCTTCATGCCAGTTTCAAGACTTCGGTAACCATGGCTCCAACCCCATAAAAAATTTGATGCAAAGGGGCTTTGCACATGAACGCGCAAGTGGTGACTATTTTGTTTGCGGAATCCACGTGGGCCTCGCTCACGTCTTTGCAGATGTGCTTGCAGCCAAGTTCTTCGATGGCAGCAGCTGTTTCAGCATCAGGAAACCTCCCGTCTACATTTCTGTTGTGGCCGACGGTGACTTCACAGCCTGGGAAGACTTTCGCTGCCAACACAGGGGAGATACAACACAAGCCAATGGGTTTCTTTGCGCTATGGAACGCCTTGAGGGTGGACTTCACCAGGTTGTTGACAGTGCAGTTCTTTCCTTCCACCGCCCAGGAACACAAGTTCTTCGCTACGCCAAAGCCCCCTGGAAAAATAATTGCATCAAATTCACCGACTTTCAACTCAGCCAAATCCTGGATGTCCCCTCTTGCAAGTCTAGCACTTTCAACTAAAACATTTCTCTTTTCTTCACTTGGACTACCCTTCAAATGATCAACAACGTGCATCTGCTCAATATTTGGTGCAAATATCTTTACCTCCGCTCCAGCCCGGCTCAGATGCACCAGGACGGCGGACGCCTCGTGGATCTCGCTGCCGTCGAAGACGCCGCAGCCAGCCAAGACCACGGCCACCCGCTTCCCCATCCTCGCCTGCGGGTCCCCCGCGTCCACGGAGGAAGAGCGTTCCTGCTTTTTGTTGAATTAATTAAACTAAATAGTTTTAATTGGGTTTATGAAACGATGCCCAATTAATTTTTACTGTTTTGAAGTTTATAGTGTTTATTATCTTCTGTTTCGTCTTGTCGTTCTGCAGCCGTGCCTGGCAAAAATCCAATCTTAAAGCTCGGTTAAAGCAAAGCATCTCTTTGGGTTTCCCGCATGTCTGATAAGATCCAATTCAGCAGGTAAGATCGGATTTTCACAAGGCGCAGCCGTGGAATGATGAGAAAAGCTCTTGGGCCCGTGGGAATTCATCGGTACCCAGTATGATCAAAATATAGGTCAAGCGAAAGTGTGCATGAGCCCTAAAATTGACACCTGCTGGGAGACAGGAAACCATTCTCTCGATTTGGTCCCAAATGAACAGAACTGAACTTCTTGATCAGCTGTAGTTTGGCATACCTGATATATTTTAGAGCTCATGTACACATTCCTACCCAGCACTGGACTCCAGCAGAGTCATATGAAGCAGGGACATTCTTTTGTTTTCGCTGTGTGTGTGCGCGCTCTTAAGCACTATTTTCTTAACTGGGCAAATGCAATTCTCAGGACGTCATGGTCAATCCTCCAGACCAAATATCTGGCTGCATAAATAAACAATGTACACTATCCCTTGAAAGATGCTGAAGGAACCACAGAGAGCAGCTTGTGCAACTCCAAGCTCCAGAGAGAGGGAGGTCAGCAACACGTCAGAGCTAGCTCGGGTGGTATATCAGAGGCCAACTTACACAAAATCTGCTGCTCAGCATGCTGGCAGCCTACTCCGATGATCTTGCATGATTGCACTGATCTCGAGATGCAATTTTCTGGTTCACAAAGAAAGGAGCGTGCTTATGGGACCCAGAATATGTGGCTTCCGCAAATAGACCGGGTGCCATAAGACAGCCTTCCCTCCATGGCAACCTCCATATTTTGTTGGACTAGAACTCCGATAATTCCTGGCTGTTGGCTAGGCTGGCTGAGACGGGTGGGAGCTACAGTCTAGAAACCTTGGAATGTACCAGGCTGAGAGAAAAGCTTCTCTCATAATACTAGAACTCTTGGACATACAATGAAGCTGAAAGTTAGAAGATCCAGGGCAGATGTTTTAAAAAGCCCATCTTCACACAGCACATTGTTAAACTATGGAACTCCCTGCCACTGGAGACAATGTTGGCCACCTGGATGGCTGTAAAAGAGGATTCGGCAAAGAGGAGAGGGCCAGCAATGGCTACTAGCCATCGTGGCTACTAGCCATCATAGCTGTTGCTCTGCCTCCAGTGTCAGAACACCAGTTGCAGAAATCGCAGGAAGGGTCTTGTGTTCAGATTCTGCTTGCTGTTTTCCTACGTGCATCTGGCTGGCCACTGTAAGAACAGGATGCTGGACTAGATGGGCCACAGGCCTTCTTTCTAAACTGAATAAAAATAAATAAATTTCCTTACAGGGCAGCTGGGCAGCACAGGAACATAGGAAACTGCTTTCTACTGACTTAGACCATTTGCCTATCGAGTCCATATTGTCTACACTGACTGGCAATACCTCTCCAAGGTTTTCAGGCAGGGGACATTCCGAGCCCTACTTGGGATTCCACGTGGGGTCTACACAAAACGGATGACTTACCGCTGCTATTGCATTTGCCATTAAAGGATAAGATTCCAGTCCCTGTGGTTCTGAAGAATGGACTGATCTATATAGGAACATAAGTCATGACATTGGTCTCTCTATCTCAGAGACATCAGCTTGCCAACAAAGGTCTGTATAGTTAAAGCTATGGTTTTCCCAGTAGTGATGTATGGAAGTGAGAGCTGGACCTTAAAGAAGGCTGATCACCAAAGAATGGACGCTTTTGAATTCTGGTGCTGGAGGAGACTCTGGAGAGTCCCATGGACTGCAAGAAGATCCAACCTCTCCATTCTGAAGGAAATCAGCCCTGAGTGCTCACTGGAAGGACAGATCCTGAAGCTGAGGCTCCAGTACTTTGGAGGGGGGACGACAGAGGACGAGATAGTTGGACAGTGTTCTCGAAGCTACCAGCATGAATTTGACTAAACTGCGGGAAGCAGTAGAAGACAGGAGTGCCTGGCATGCTCTGGTCCATGGGGTCATGAAGAGCCAGACACGACGAAATGACTAAACAACAACAAAAAAAGATATCGAGCATCAGAACAACCTGGCCACTATAAAGAAATTCTGCCCTTGGTATGTTCAGTATCCACCTCTCCATTTTGATTCTCTGCCCCATATCTGCACAAACTTATTATCCCAAAATACAGACGTGCTTTTACACTTGCAAGACTGGATGTTTTGCCATCTGTGGTATCGAGAGTCGATTCCAAAAGATCTCGCCTGAGAAACGTCTTTGCCCCTGTGAAGACGGTAGCACCGAAACAGCGGCACACGTCCTCCTGTCTTGTACTCGCTACAAAGACCTGAGGAATGAGATCCTCACCCCACTTGTACTAACCATCCCAGGGCGCACAACCACTGCCACAATGTCCTTTCTCCTATCAGATCAAAATGAGCAGATAACAGCAAAGGCTGCTAGGTTCATAGCAGGGGCAATCAGAATAAGGGCCACTAACTGTCTGCTGATTAAGGACTTTAAATTGTGCTTTTATATCAAATTATCTTTTCTGCGTATACTGTAATGTTTTACTGTTGCTATGGCCATTGGCTAAGACGAATAAAGTTTTATCTCACAAAGAAAAGCCACTGGACATGACACAGAGGGGAAAAAATTATAGTATCTTCCGAAGCTTATATGTTGATCAAACTATTTGAAAGTGGGGGATCCCATATTCTGCAGCTAAACTCTTGTTGCTTTCCTCTGTTTTGGTTTCTTCCAACTGCCCTCTGCCTTGAGTGCAATCTTGCTGCCGTGACGCAGGACCTAAGGGGAATAAATGCAGTGAATAAGAATGAGAGGAAAACACAGTGGAATATTTCGGGTCACGTTCCAGGGTGCACGCTTCATTCACGCAAAACATTGGCTGGCTTTGTGGATCTCTCTGTTGTCCTTACATGCCTGGGGAGGGTGTACTCTCCCCTACAATACAATCAGCTTCCCCCTGTGGTTAGCCTTTGCCTCAGTAAATTGACTGGGTCAGCTGTCAACCCCGTACAGTTTTACCAATCTTCTTATTGAGGAATTTGCGATAAGCTTCTGAGAAACTCTCCCCACCAGCCCAGAGCGTAGCTTGAGAACTTCTGCTCTTTCTATCCCATCCTGGTTTTTAGAGCACATGTGGCAATACCATGTTATCCTCGCCATCTCCCCGCCGAGAGAGAGAGTGGCGTGTCCCAATGTGCTCCATTCCTGAGCAAGGATTTGAACCCGGAGCAAGAATAACCATGGTGATAAAAGACACAGAGCGTCGGCCCAGGAGAAGGCAACATTTGCACAAAATATGCAGATGCTAATTTATATGGAAATGATGCAAACTGAGAGCAGGCCTTCAGAGGGAAAAAGCAAATGTTGGCTTTTGTTGTCAGGGCTTAGCCTTGCTATCAGGGCTTCATTTGCCTCTGGGCAAATCAAGACAGCAGGTGGCCGGAGCCTCCCCAGTACTGTACAGCTGAAGGGAAGGGCTGTAGCTCAGTGGAATAGCCTCTGTTTTGCATGCCTGGATAGCTCAGTTGGTTACAGCCTGCTGCTGATAACGCCAAGGTTGCAGGTTCTATCCCCGTATAGGACAGCTGCGTATTCCTGCATTTCAGGGGGTTGGGATAGATGACCCCTGAAGTTCTTCCCAACTCTACAATTCTGTGCCAAAGATTCCAGCTTCCATCCCCATCTCCAGTTGGGGCTGAGAATGGCTGCTTGAAATTCTGGAAAGCAACTGCCAGTCAGTGTATACATAGCTGAGCTTGTTGTTGTTTAGTCGTGTCCGACTCTTTGTGACCCCATGGACCAGAGCATGCCAGGCACTCCTGTCTTCCACTGCCTCCCGCAGTTTGGTCAAACTCATGTTGGTAGCTGTATTTCAAAGATAAGATAGCTGCTTATTTCCTTCACGTCTGAAGGGAGGGCGTTCCGCAGGGCGGGTGCCACTACCTGGTTCCCTGTAACTTGGCTTCTCTCAGCGAGGGAACCGCCAGAAGGCCCTCGGAGCTGGACCTCAGTGTCCAGGCAGAACGATGGAGATGGAGACGCTCCTTCCAGTATACTGGACCAAGGCCGTTTAGGGCTTTTAAGGTCAGCACCAATACTTTGAATTGTGCTTGGAAACGTACTGGGAGCCAGTGTAGGTCTTTCAAGACTGGTGTTATGTGGTCTCGGCGGCCGCTCCCAGTCACCAGTCTAGCTGCCGCATTCTGGATTAATTGTAGTTTCCGAGTACCTTCAAAGGTAGCCCCACGTAGAGCGCATTGCAGTAGTCCATTGCAGGGAGATAACCAGAGCGTGCACCACTCTGGTGAGACAGTCCGTGGACAGGGAGGGTCTCATCCTGGGTCTCATCCTGCATACCAGATGGAGCTGGTAAACAGCTGCCCCGGACACAGAATTGACCTGCACCTCCATGGACAGCTGTGAGTCCAAAATGACTCCCAGGCTGCGCACCTGGTCCTTCAGGGGCACAGTTGCCCCATTCAGGACCAGGGAGTTCCTCATGGGCATCTGTGAAGCCTTGCCATATTGTGGGCACTGCAAAATTTGGGGGGAAAGCTACCAGTACAGGACCAGGCAGTCCCCCACACCTGCCTGCCCCCTGTTCCCCAAAAACAGTACTTCTGTCTTGTCAGGATTCAACCTCAATCTGTTAGCCACCATCCTAGAGGTGGAGCTGTAAAGTAATTAAAAATTATTGGGAAATGATCTATAATGAATTGAAGATGTTCAAGATAACACTTGTTTAAAAGCCAGAAGCTTTCCTATTAGGTATTATAGGACAGGAATTTCTAAAAGAATTGAAGAAGTTATTCATGTATGCCACAAAAGTGGCTAGGATTTTACTAGCCCCAAAATGGAAGGACGATAAGATACCAACGAAGGAAGAATGGCAAGTTAAACTTACGGAATACGCAGAAATGGTGCAACTTACAGGAAGACTTAGAGAGAATGACTACAAAGACTTGGGAACTGTTCATGTTGTATCTACAGAAACATTGTAAAGAATTGGACTCACTAGCAGGGTTTGAGTAAACACAAAAGTGTAATTGGAAAGAATATTTGGCATAAAATGATAAGAATTAAAAGTATTTAGCAAAAAGATTATATAAAAAATAAGATAAAAATTAATCAGAAGTAGCATATATTTAAAGAACCAGAAGGGGAACTTGAGGGAAGTCACAGGATGGGGCAAGTTCTATTTTATTTTATTATCTTTTTTCTTTTATATGATAAATGTGTTGAATATTACATTGTATAATCCCCCCAAAAATATTTTAAAAAACAAAATAGAGTCCAACCTAGAGAAGTCTTGCCAGGGCCCCAGCTTTGACTCCTTGATACTTAGAGACCTGTTCGTCCAAGAGGACTTGCTCCACTGAGATGTTTTGCTGCAAAGATCCCAACTGCAGTGAACGTGGCATTCCAAAAGAGCCGATGGTGTGCCAAGTTGGCGGCTCCAATCCATCTCCGATTTATAAGGCCATCAGAAGCGTCCTGTTGGGTCAGACCAAAGGCCCATCCGAAGCAGCAGACTGTTCAGCAGACCAAAGGCCCATCCGAAGCAGCAGAGAGCCGTGTGGTGTAGTGGTTAAGAGCGGTAGTCTCGTAATCTGGGGAACCGGGTTCGTGTCTCCGCTCCTCCACGTGCAGCTGCTGGGTGACCTTGGGCCAGTCACACTTCTCTGAAGTCTCTCAGCCCCACTCACCTCACAGAGTGTTTGTTGTGGGGGAGGAAGGGAAAGGAGATTGTGAGCCGCTTTGAGACTCCTGAAGGGGAGTGAAAGGCGGGATATCAAATCCAAACTCTTCTTCTTCTTCTCACAGTGGCCATCCATCGGTTGTGGATGCTATGGTTGACCTTCAGGGTCCCTTCCTACACAACAACTCAATGATTCTGTGAGGCCCACAAACAGGATTTGTGTGCAACAGCAAATCTCCCCACCTCTGGTTCCAGATTTAGGTTTGATGAGGCCCTAAGACAGTGGTCAGCAAACTTTTTCAGCAGGGGGCTGATCCACTGTCCCTCAGACCATGTGGTGGGCCGAACTATATATTTTGGGGGGGGGGGGAATGAACGAATTCCTATGTCCCACAAATAACCCAGAGATGCATTTTAAATAAAAGCACACATTCTACTCATGTAAAAATACGCTGATTCCCGGACCGTCTGTGGGCCAGATTTAGAAGGCAATTGGGCTGGATCTGGCCCCCAGGCCTTAGTTTGCCTACCCATGCCCTAAGCTACTGAAAGTAATGGGGCCCTTTATATGTCCAGCTGTCCTTTGTCAACAACAAACTGTCAATGTTTTTTGTGTTGAATATATGTCATATGGTCATTTATGGACCTAATAGGTATCTCAAGCCATTTGCACATGTTGCCTTGCAACCAGTCCATGCAGAATGTAGGCACCCTATATATAGAAAGGAGCAAACCAGTGATATTTGAGGGAGCAGGCTAGCAGGCGGGGTCCATGACTTACATCACAGGAGCCTACACAACACCAAACACTGTGGCTGTATGTAGATTTTATTTTATTAGTTTTTAATCTTATATTTTGGAAATGTACATCCAGGTTTTTTTTCCTTTAATTTTTTTGGGGGCCCCCAAGAGTGTGGGGCCCTAAGCTATAGCTTGTTTAGCTTATACGTAAATCCAGCACTGACTGGGATCCAGAGACACACTGCTACCAAGAGTGGGAGGAAAACACAGCCATTGTGACTAGTAGCCATCGACAGCATTAGGAAAGAGGGAGGGAAAACTGTTATCTGTTCACTTGCTCTGTATACACCCCACTTACTTACTTAGTTGCCTTTTCTCTAAACTAAAAAGACTCAAATGTTGCAACCTTTCGCTCCATCTCCTCAATCATCTCCTTTTCGAGGCGCAACAAAGAAAACTGTTCTACTCTTAAGTGAACTCCCACCATAGATGTGCACGCAGCCATGGGTTAAAAACCAAGGCATGGATTTTGGGGGAGAAAACAAGAAACTTTTCGATGTTTGGAAATCACACAGGGAGAGGAGTTAGGAGGACAGGTGGGAACGCTTGCTCCTTGTAGAAGGACTTATTCCCAGCTTTGTGAAATGTGAAGGTTTGGGTAGGAGAGAAGGAGCCACCTTTGTTCTGGCAGGGAGTTTTTGCAAGAGAAATGTAAAGGGTGTGTGTGTGTGTGTGTGTTTTGCTTTCGCCTCTGGCTCTGATCTGTCTCTCCACCTGCACTCTCCAGGGAGATGAGGCTTTTGGCAACCTTTCCACTTCTAATTTTATTGGTTTCAACTAAGCTGCCCTTCTGGAGGCCTGGAGAGCTCCAGTGATGAGAAACAACAAACGCAGGAGACAATTTTCCTCCCCCTCCTCCCCCCACAAAACAACAACAACACCCATTCATGCATAATGTTTCTGTGCAAAATATAGTCAACGATTCCTTGCTTCTCTTTTCTACGTACATGAAAGACAGGAAGAAAATGGATGGGTGAACTTCCTGCAGCGTCAACAGAAAATGCTTGGAGGCTCGTTGGATCTGCCTTATGAACTTCAGAGGGGTCAAGCTGGGACAGTTTAAAGATCCTCTTCCCATGCAATTCTATAGATTTTTGCTCAGAAGTAAGTCTAAACCACAGAGCCTAGGGCTTGCCGATCAGAAGGTCGCCGGTTCGAATCCCCGCCACGGGGTGAGCTCCCGTTGCTCGGTCCCTGCTCCTGCCCACCTAGCAGTTCGAAAGCACGTCAAAGTGCAAGTAGATAAATAGGTACCACTCCGGCGGGAAGGCAAATGGCATTTCTGTGTGCTGCTCTGGTTCGCCAGAAGCGGCTTAGTCATGCCGGCCACATGACCCGGAAGCTGTACGCCGGCTCCCTCGGCCAGTAAAGCGAGATGAGCGCCGCAACCCCAGAGTCAGTCACGACTGGACCTAATGGTCAGGGGTCCCTTTATCTTTAAGTCCCTTTAAGGGCAGTTAGAGGAGGAAGGTACCTGCAAGAAAGGCAGGGTAGGAATGATCATTCAGGGCGGGAGACTGGGAGAAGAGGTAGGTACCCAGGTGAGAGCTGGAGGAATCTGGAAATGATTTATAATGAACTGGGGGGGGGGGGAACATGTTTAAAATAACTTTTGTTAAAAAAAAACAGAGGCCTTTTTATTAGGTATAATAGGAGAAGAATTACCGAAGGATAAGAAAGCACTGTTTATGTATGCAACAGCGGCAAGAATGCTATTTGCCCAGGGATGGAAAGAAGAAAGAGCCCCATCGAAAGAAGAATGGATAATGAAGGTGATGGACTATGAGGAGATGGCAAGGCTGACCGGAAAGAGAATGGCAGAACTTGATAGAATATATTAAAGAACACTGTAAAAATCTAAAAAAGTTAGCAGGATTGACATAGCACTTGCAATTTAAAACAACGAAGGATAAAAATGAAGTGTAATAATTTGGATCAATGCAACTAGATGCAGTTAAAAAAGGAAGATACTGTATTTTTTGCCCCATAGGGCACACCGGCCCATAGGGCACACCTAGTTTTTTGGGGGGGAAATAAAGAAAAAAAATTATTTCCCCCCCAGGCACGGGGCTGGGGGGGGGAAG